CTGCTCCCGCTCTACTTGTCGCTCCTTGTCGCTCCCAGTACGGTACGGTCCGGTCCGCACGCGCCCTTTCAACAGCGCCGCCACCGCAGCCCGGGTGACTTATAGCCGCCGGCGGGGCGGAGGCGGAGCGGGGCGGGGCCAGCGAGTGGGCTCCGCCGCCCGCCAAGATGCCCCTTGTCCCCAGACACCGCCCTCGCCACGCGCCGCCCGGGAACCGCAGTGACTAGGACTGGCTGGAGCCCAGGTTACAGCGCCAAATATTTACCCGCCGTTTTCCCCGCGCACCCTGACAACCCGACCCACGAAGATGCCTTTGACGTCATCAGAACCCCAAAAATTTCTACTTTCGGCTGGAGCTCCGCTGCTTCCCGCCCTGTGCCCTGAACCTACTGGAGCACCAGTTCCCTCATCTGTGAAATGAAAACGCTGAGCCTCCAGGGTTTGCTGTGAAGAGTAAAGTAGCTGAACGGCTCAGAGAGAGACCCAGGGGGTGTCTCCCACGCGAGTTGTGGGTGGAGCCCTGGCGGGTAGCTCAGTTAGTTCAAGCGGGGTCCCAATGTGCCAAGGTCGCCGCAGTTCCATGCCCGTGGGGCTCATACAAGAGGAAACCAATGAATGCATGAATAGAGGGAACCACAGATGGATGTTTTTCTCTCTTCTCTCAAACCAATAGATAAAAATAAAAAGAGTTGTGGGCCCATACGGTGTAGCTCAATGGTTAAGCCAGGACCTATGAACCACGCGAGGTTGCGGTTAGATCCCTGGTGAGGACACATGTCCGGTTTCGGCTTGATTACTGGGGCTTGCGAGAGGCAGCCAATCAATGATTCTCTCTCATCATTGATGTTTCTCTATCTCCCTCTCCCTTCCTCTGTGAACTCAATAGAAACATTTAAAATTTTAAAAGAGTTGTGGGTGGAAAGCGTGGGAGGAAAGAGAGACAGAAGTCAGTGGAGTCCACGGTTTACCAACCTTGACTGCTCCCAGCTGAGCGGAGCCTGACTACAGTCCCCGACTTCATTCTGGAGGAGCTTGTTAGGCGGAAGAAACGGCTTAGGTGCAGGGCCCCTCTGAGTCCACACTAAAGGGCCACCCTGCCCAGCCGCCTGGCAGGGCACCAATTGTGACCGTGAATGACTCCTCTTGTGCTGCCCAATGGAGTAGCCACTGACCACAGCTGGCTATTTAAATGTAAAGCAATTAAAATAGAATAAAATGAAAAAATTGAGTCAGTCACATGTCAAGTGCTCAACCGTCATCATTGCTAAAACTTCTACTGGGAGACCTTGCCAGGGTTTCGGACTCACAAAGCTGGCTTCAGGGAGAAACAAGGGGTCTTATCCTGGTTATTAAGGGCCCCCAAGGTCAGGTCTGGCATGCACCATTTTTAGCCCCAGAGCAACCCTGAGAGGCGGAATTACTGCTTCTGTTTCACAGGTGAGGCACAAAGAGGTTAAGTAGCCAGCTAGTCAGGTCCTGATGGCAGGGCAGCCCTATCTGTTTCAGAGCCGCTTTGGGCTTCACCACACCCACACTTCCTCCACAAGGTAAGGTGGAGAACTGAGCAGACAGGAGGACGAAGCTCCAAATACTGAAGTAGATAATCCAGGTCCTTAAAGCAATAAGGCAAGGCATATGCATCTTTCATTTCACCTCTTCTATTTTTTCCTTTTTCCCACCTCCCTTTTTAATTTTTTTTCCCTCTTTCCCACTGGTGATGCCCTGGGCTAGCAGAGCAGCAACCAATTGGGCAGCTGAGACCAAGGAACTGCTTTCCAAATGCAGCTCTCCCTCCTGGGCAGGGTCAGGGTACAGGGTGGTGGACAACCCAGCCAAGCTGATCTTCAGAACAGTCTACAAAACAGTTCCAGTTTACAGCAACCATTCAGTTTACCGAGACAGTGACAATGAAGGTAACCTCTTCTTAGATTGGCTGGCTGTTTTCATCTGCACCCCATTGTAAGGGAACCCACCGAAGCATTGAGGAGCCCCAACTCAAAGTGTCACCTGTAGCATGGGTGTTACTCTGGTTATGGAAGACTACTGCTCTCTTTCCTAATTATAATTTTAATATATAGAAAAATATAGGGAGCACTATCTCAATCCGTTGAGGTTCTGCTTCCCAGCATGTGTCGGCAGTTTGGCTCAAATAAACTCACAAAAATTCAAAAAAAAAAAAAAAAAAAAAAAAAATATAGAGAATTAGGTCATAGCACTCTGTGTAGCCACCACTGAGAATGAATACATGTTAACATTTTATTTTTACTTCAGATATTTTTAAGGTATAATTTCCATACAACAAAGTATGCAAAATTTGAATGTAAGTTCGGTAAATGTTTACCTGTGTAGTTACCATCCAGATGAAGATATAGTATTTTATTCTCACCCTAAAAGAGTCCGGATGCCATTTTCCAGTCAGTAGGCCCCCATAAGTAACCCCTATGATAGTTAACCCAAGGATTATTAGTTTGCCAAGTCTAAAACTCCTTAAACAAAATCATAGTGTATTCATTTTTTTTTTATATCTGGCTTCTTTTGCTTAACGTAATGTCCACGCATGGGTGTTGTTGCAGTATTAATCCATCCTCCTGCTGGTAGACATTTAAGTTGTTTGGCTGCTGCTGGTGGTGGGCTGGTCTTACTTGAATAGTCCTGCAGTGAGTATTCTTGCGCCTGTCTCCTTGTGTACATGATTAAGAGCCTCTAGGATATACATCTAGAAGTGGAGTAACCAAATTGCCTTAGTTATCTCTAGTCATTGACTAATAGAAAGCTGCTGTGAACATCCTTGTACATTTCTTTTGGTGCACATCAATACTCACTTCCCTTGGGTTTATACCTAGAGGGGAAATTTCAGAATCACAGGAGAGACATGTGCTTATCTTTCAAAGATACTATTTTCCAGGGTGTTGAATGAATCTACACTCCCAGCAATGTATAAGAATTCCAATTGCTCCATATTTGTGTCAACATATGATATTGCTAGACATGTTAATTTTAACCATTCTGGTGAGTGTATACTGGTATCTTACTGCAATTTTTTTCCTTTTTTCTGTGGCTTTAATATACATTTACCTAAAAAGTAATTAAATTGACCACCTCTTCATGTTTCAAATGTCCCATATAATAAAACCCTAATATGCAAATCGACCGAATGACAGAACGACTGGTTGCTATGACACACACTGACCACCAGGGGGCAGATGCTCAATGCAGGAGCTGACCCATGGTGGTCAGTGTGCTCCCACAGCGGGAGCGCCGCTCAGCCAGAAGCCGGGCTCAAGGCTGGTGAATGCAGCAGCACTAAGGACCCCTCAGGAAATGTCCGATTCCCAGCTTAGGCCCACTCCCCGCCAGAAGTCGGACATCCCCCGAGGCATCCCCAGAGGACACAGGCCGGGCTGAAGGCCCCCCCTGCATGAATGTCGTGTACCAGGCCTCTAATTTCTTAATAAGAGAAATTAGAATAATACAGATAAAGTTGAAATCCTCTTATCTATATTTCCCAGTCTTGCCTCCCTCCCTTCCTCCCTCCTCAGAGGCAATCAGTACCCTATTAGTCCATGTTTTTATACCTAAACTATCCTATCTAATAATAGACAAACATGGTAATTAACCGTACCTTTGCTACCATCACCATTGGGTGATCAGCACGATATGCAAATTAACCGCCAAAAAAGATGGCGGCTAATTTGCATACTGCAGGCAGGGCAGGACACTGGGAGCCGCCATCCAGGCCCCCGCGTGCAACCCCAGGAGCCACTGGAAAGCCAGGCCGCAGGCAAGGCGGCCCCCCGGGACCTAAGAGCCGCCTTGCCTGCAGCCTGTGATCGTGATCGTGATCTTGATCGTGATCGTGATCGGAAAGCCGGGCCACAGGCAAGGCAGCCCCCTGGGACCCAGGAGCCCATTGGTGAGGTCTGCAGGTGAAGCAGCAATCAAGCTATGAGGGGGATGGTGGGGGGCAGAAGGAGCTACAGGAGCATCTCTGGCTGGAGGCTGAAGACTCTGGCCAGAGCGAGGAGCAAAGACTGAAGGCTGCAGCCGCAGCAAAGATTGTGTCCAGAGCAAGGATGGAAGGCAGTGGCCAGAGTGAAGGTCTGGGTCCCTGGTGCCAGAGGAAAATTGGTGCTTGCAGCCAGGGGAAAGAAGGCCTATTGCATGAATCTTCATGCAACGGCCTCTAGTCTATATATATAAAAGACTATTATGCAAAGTGTCCCCTTGGGAGTTCGAGCAGGAGTTCGATTGCTCGACATGACGTGTGCTGACCACCAGGGGGCAGCATGGAACAAAGGAAGGGTCCAGCTGACAGCTGGAAGGAAGGCCCTGGCCAGCAGCTGGAAGGCCTTGATTGGCCCTGATCACCAGCCATGCCTAGGGACCCTACCTGTGCACGAATTTCGTGCACTGGGCCTCTAGTATCTATATGTTTACATAAAATGTATAATATTTACATAACTACTTTCATGTTGCAATATGCTTTGTTTTCAGTCAACATTGTTTTCACATGTGTTGATACATACATATCTAGTTTATTCATTTCATCTGCCAAGTAGAATTCCATTGAATGACAATAACACAGTTTAATTATCCATTCTTCTGTTGATGGACACTTAGGTTGTTTTCAATCTTTCTCTAGCACAAACAATACTACAGCCAGCCTGTTACCTATCTCTTAGTGCACACATGTGAGTCCACATCTGCGTTCATCTTGATTCCTTCCTTAGAACCAGACAAAAAGCAAAGTCAAACCCTTCATCCTTTGAGTCTTCTGGCTGGGTTCCATTTTCTATTCCAGAGCCTCCTAATAGTCCACAGCCATATGAACATAGTGACAAAGATAACTGACCTCACTGTTCAGGTGTGAACTTGTCCCTCACTGAGGAGGGGTAGGAGCGGTGTCTTTCACCAGCCCAGAACCATAACATCCTTACACTAGGATTTATACACATTTCAAGTTCTAGAAATGTGTTACACAGGTCTCCTTCCAGAAAAAGACGAGGTAGCTTATGATTTTGAAACAGAATAATCACAACTTCTTACATTTTTAAAAACTAGTTCTTTTTTTTAAGGTTACTTATTTATTTATTTAGAGAGCAAGGGAGAGGGAGAGAGAGTGAAACATCATAGGCTGCCTCCTGCATTTTCACTACTGGGGATCAAGCCCAAAACTGGGGCATATGCCCCAACTGGGACTCAAACCAGCAACCCTTAGGGATGATGCCCAACCAGTTGAGCCACACCAGCCAGGGCAAAGACTAGTTATTTATCTTAACTGGTGTCTCTTCCTCCTTTTTACTGTTAACCCCTCTCTCCTTAACACGTGTCCTGATTCTCCATCTAACAGCCTCATCATTTCTTCTCAGGGCCCTGTTGAATCCCTCCTCTGTATAATTAAACTCTGAGGTTCCCTACAGGTCTCCCAACCTTTTCTCCTCTACACTCTTGCCAGACCATCTCATCCCCTCTCGTGATCATAGCTAACATTTATAAGTTTTCAAATATTTATTTCTAAACCAAATTTTTTCCCATCAAGTCACTTACAGCCAATTGTGTATGACTTTTAGCCTTCCTCTACAGACAACCTGTAGAAGAAACTTCCAGTTATTTCCTAATATCTGATCTCCCCTTCCTAGCCTACGTAATAAAGAGGGAATATACTAATTGACCCTCATGCCATTGCAAAGATGGTGGTGCCCACAGCCAATAAGGAGGGAATATGCTAATTGACTGCTCCACTCTCAAGGATGACAGTGCCCACAGCCACAAGATGGCAGCACCCAGTCCCCTCAGCCCCGCCAGGGCTGCAGGCATGCGGCAAGGTGGGCCCGGCTTTGCCGCACACCTGCCTCTGGAGTCCCCAGTCTCCTCAGCCCCCCAGATGCTCTGGGCCGGCCCGAGGCACAGGCAAGCCTTGAATGGCAGCTGCCCAGCTGCCCAGGGCCACTCCCGGCTCTGGGCACC